TGAAAATAAGTAATCAGTAAAGTAACGGGATTACTTTTTTGGGGAAGTAATCGGTAATTAGTTACTGATTACTTTTTTCAAGTAACTTGACCAACACTGCTTGTAGGTAACATTCAGAAAGGTAGCATGGTTTGGCAGTTAATTTTACCGGTCAGAGTATTTTTCTAGCTAATATTCACAAAGGTAGGACAATTTGCCACTGAATTTCGTGTTGTGCGCATGCGCAGAAACAACGGGTAGGATGGATTCCCAGAACACCGGCTGTATGCGTACAGCAACCGTGTTTTAAAAGTGGTCAGTAAAGAGATGCTGTAAAGCGTGTTCATGCAAACATCGTCAGGTCTGCCGTGATATGTTTACAATAAGACTTCTGCTCCTGAGACGTGGTCAAAAATGCATCACTTCATGAAGATGTTATGATGATATTCACAGAAACTGAAAAAAGTTTATTATGGAAAGAAATGGAGGCGGAAACTAAACTGTACAAAAGGAACAATCATTTGCAACGTTGTTAGCAATGGTCGCAGTCAACACATGGTTACCATGACAACTTTAACACAGACGACTTGTTTGGTATGAGGCCACGGATGTGACCCCGACCTTCAGGTCACGGAGGAACCAGGAGGACGAGGACAGGAAGTCGGACACAGGAACGGAGCAGAAATGTGGGCTCTTTTCAAAACAAAAGACCCCCAATCACTCCTAAATGCTGCTGCTGAAAGCTCCGTCACAGACGGGTGTGCTGCTGACGACCTTTCACGGTGCTCGTTCGTGTCCTGTGCAGAACTTGCCCTCGATCCTGCTAACTTCTGTCTCATTAGTGTGGAGCTAAAGCCGAGGCTGCTTTACGGAGTTCTGCAATAAAGGCGGTGATTACTGTGACCCACTCATGAATAAATCACAGCGCACACAGAGGAAAAACACACGGGACTCGTGTTCGTATGTACAGCTGACATTTATAGAGCTAATAGAAAACACGGTGGTACAGATCATTTATAAAAACTAAACCAGAACAACATAAATAGCAGGAATACAGAATCCTGGTCAGTACAAATGTCTTGGTCCCCTTCCAGCATCAGAGTCGAGGCAGAGTGAAGGCGAGGCTGGTGGAAGATGAACGGATGAATGGTTTATTGCTGTCACAGCGGCATCGTGTGACTGTTTCATGAGTGGATCTTTCTGAAGTGTTTGGTTCTCAGATCGCATCCTCAGAGCTTCCCATCCTCCCTCACAGCATCTGGACACTCGACATGAAAATGCTAAATACTGCGTCGTTACAGGAAGCTTCAGCTCCCAGACTGTGACGGCCGATCATTTGGGTCTAAATCGTCTTTGTCTCAGGGACGTTTCACCTCAAAATCCAGAGCACCCCTTCTTGTTGTTAGTGCAGTGTCAGAAACACTCATTGGGAATGCTTTTTTGCAGCTACCTACGGTGGCCCTGAAAGGCCAAACGGACTGCAACTTAAGAAAACACCAGCAAGAAGAAAAACGCTGCAAAAGCACAAAAAACACAACGGAAATAGGAAAAAAACAAGGGAAGTGTTTCTGGGGAGACAATAACCTGATGGACCAGTTTCGGGAACCAAAACATGCTCGGTAAGTGTGTTTTAATCTCACGATTCATACGCACGATGGCACGGTGGTTAGCACTGTTGCCCGAGTTCAATTCCACCATCAGGTCGGGGTCTTTCTGTGTTTGCATGTTCTGCCCGTGTTTGCGTGGGTTCTCTCCGGGTACTCCGGCTTCCTCCCACCGTCCAAAGACATGCAGCTTGTGGGGATAGGTTAATTGAAAAATTGCCCATAGGTGTGAATGCAGGAGTGAATGTGAGTGTGAATGGTTGCCTGTCCCTGTGTGTTGGCTCTGCGACAGACTGGCGACCTGTCCAGGGTGTACCCCGCCTCTCGCCCTGTGACAGCTGGGATAGGCTCCAGCGCCCCCCGCGACCCTGAAAAAAGAAGCGGGTGGATGGATTCATATAATACTGATGACAGATTCTTAGGCTAACACACTTATCTCTCCTCTTTTCTTTCCTCACAAAACCGATAGATCCTCCACATCTTTGAAGAGTCTCCCAGTGAGATTCTTAGCATATTTTGGTTCCTGCAACTGGTCCGTCGGGTTATTGTCTCCCCAGAAACACTTCCCTTGTGCTTTTGAAAACGTGTTTTTTCCTATTTCTGTTGTGTTTTGTGTGCTTTTGCAGCGTCTCTCAGGGCCACCGTAGGTATCTCACCCACTTACTTAAAAACAAAGAAAACACACACCCTGCAGTTTCATTTAGGGACTACTTTCTTCCCACCGTCTACATCCGCTAAAGCAAAGAAGCGCGCAGCGAGCTGACGTCACAGCTCGGCCGACCTATTCGCACTCCAGGGCGTCAAATTGTGCCGTCAGCGATGCAGCTGCAGCAGGATGTGACACTCTGAGGTAAGAAGGCTCAGGTGGATGCACACTGACATGGTTGGTGGAGGCAGTTTGGTGGAAAAGAAGGGTTAGGATGGAGGCTCCTCCACGAAACCGCTCACAGAGGATTTGGTTTGTGGATGTTTTCTAGCATGAAACTGAGAACTCACAGGAAGCCTACACAGGTGGATCAACAGGAGACACGTGCATTTGATTTGGGGAACACCTGAACTCCAGGTGAGAGGCTGATCCCAGGTGTACCCTGGGCTAATGCTAGTGTTAGTGATTATCTCCCTGGAAGCGAGCAGAAAGCAGCTCAGGTTAAATAAAAGCAGACACACAGCCGGACCTACAGGTGCTCCTGCTCCAAACACTCTGACTCCGCCCTGCCACGCCTCTCTCGCTGACTCCTCCCTCATAGATGTGAAGCTTTCTTTTCCTCACACACTTTAAGCTCCACTCAGCTTCAGTCCTGCTGAGAACACATTATAGTAAACATTACACAGCTCAGCGGGTGTTCTGAATATCTGCTGTTGGCGGGACTTCTTCCTGCAGCCTGGCCCCGCCCACTCCCTTACAGAGACTTAAATCGCTCCGAGTGGCCTCAGAAGGGGAGCAGAGGAAAGCGGACGCCTTACACCTGTAAGCCTGTGATCCCTGCAGGTATACAGGTGCACAGCGTCATGTCGTGACATCGTCGCGTGGAGCAGCGTCACACTCCTCAGCCGCCTGTTTCCTGCGTGTGAATGCTGCGTTCGAGTGATCTCAGCGAGGCCCGTGAACTTTAAACACTTTGGTATTTGGCAGAAAAACTCAAATTCAGAAACACTGCATAAAATAATTTTTTTGAACTCTTCGAACCTCAGACGGCACGAAAGGCTTTTCTCCCTCTGGGCGGAGTTCTAATACTGCAGATGTGAATACAGCATCACAGCTGGAGCAGCTGTGATGCTCGTGACGATGGTGTGAGGTAAGAATGAGCGAGCACGTGGAAAGGATAAAAACATGTCGGCTTGTCCTGCAGTTCGGTCTGAGTTAAGTTCTTTTAATGAGGATCAGACGATCCGGACTTCCTGTTCATGCCTGTCACGCTGGGCTTCATCCTGCTGTGTGTGTGTGCGTGTGCGTGTGTGTGTGTGTGTGTGTGTGTTTGCAAGGATAACGTCTGTTGTTGAAACTTCTTTGTCCTGCTAAATGATGATTGGTCGAAGACACCGTCACCTGTCGCTGCAGGTGCATGCACAGGTGCGCTGTAAAGCTGATTCATGTTGCTCGCTGGTTGGGACTGATTTACTTTGTGTTGCCAAACATCAGCTTTCAGCCGAGAGCGACAATCTTCACCATCGTCACGCGACTGCTGATGTTGGTGTGTGTGTGCGTGCGTGCGTGCGTGCAGGTGTGTGTGTGTGTCATGGGATCTGGAGCTGCAGTTCCTCGTCCTCCTCGTCCACATCGCTGCTGGGACCGTCGGGGTTCTCAGGACCAAAGCGAGCCGATCGCATCTTCCCGAAGAGGCCGGGACTCTGCTGCTGCCGCCGCAGTCTGACAGGAAGACAGAGAGAGGGTTAAAATAACGTCCGCTCACTCCAGTCAGATGGGCTCAGCGACCTCGGGAAAAGTGTTTCCAGACACTGCCTGAAATCAGTCGGCGGGCGAGTCACCAAAAAAAACAGACTTAACATGCTAAAGTGCTAAAAACCTGCAGTTCCTCTGAAGCCCAGCAGGGGCAGCAGCGAGTCAGTCCCCATAGACTCCCATGTTAAAGCTTTCCAGCAGAAATAACCATGTTTACAGCCTGATACACAAACTGATTGGCCTCTACAGATAATATCCTCCTTCGTAACACCTGCAGAGACGAGGATGTTTGAGCTGTATTAAGTCGACACAGTTCCTGAGCTCACAGACTTCTATCCAATCAGACTTCAGAGGCACCGCCCCCTGCTGGACGGCAGACAGGCCGCAGGCTTCAGATGCTTTGCAGACCCGGTGTACGACGACACGGCACGCTGTGAGCAGCACAGACAGTCGAGCAGCCGCCGACAAACTGAATGAAAGCACGAAGAGAAGCGGCGCCCTCGACAAAAACCCAAAACACAAAGATTGTGTCAGTCTCCTCAAGCTGTTGCCATGCCGACATGCCTGTCATTCCGCGACATCAGCAGAGGCATGAGAGAGAGCGAGATCCCTGTTACTACGGCAACCTGTGACCGGTAGCTCAGTGATTGGCTGCTGGGTGCTGGAGCAACAGCGTGGAGAAAATGGGAGAGAGAGCATAGAGGAGAGGAAGAGAGAGCGGAGGACTGTGCAAAGCTGATAGAGCTGAGTGACACACACACACACACACACACACACACACACACTCACTCACAGCCAAAGCTGCGTCTTCCCATAAATGAAGGCAGTGCCAAGACTCACATTGAGCCTGGCAGCTACAAGTAGGCTGTCAGCTTAACACAACACACACACACACACACACAACACACACACACACACACACACACAACACACCACACACGCTCCTGAAGGTGTGTTTTGAGTAAGAGCCTGTACAGCTTTTCAGGAGTGTGAGAAGTGTTACTAAACATGCCGACACTCTAGCTGAGCGAAAGTGTTTGTATCAGAAACGGGACAGACTGAGCTGAGCTGTGGGAGCTGTGGGAGCTGTGGGCTGGCAGGAAGGAACAGAAGAAGCTAAAGTACAAAATCAACAGACTGTATCTCAAAGAGGGATGTTGTCCATGTTGTCAGAAGCGAGATGCTTCCATGAACTGCTGATTTCTCCATCCCGGCATTCCAACATTAGCAGCTTTCAGCGCTGGCTTAATTTTTCAGGCCCAGATGTTGTTGCTTGGATAAAACTACAAGTCCTAAAAACTACAACTCCCCTACTGCCACAGGGCAATGTTAACAAGTTGTTTACAAGCCCAGCATCAGGTTTACGAGAACCAAATTTGCTACAATGTTTTTCATCAAAAGTTTTAAGAAATGTTTCTAACATTTTAGCGATATGAGTCATAAATGTCGCGCCGCCGTCGGCTTCACGTTTGTCAAGTCTGCTTCAGCAAATAGTGACTGAGTTTATATCACAACAGGAAATGAGACAAAGGTGTAGGACACCGGGTGCAAAAAGTCTTACCTCGACTGTAAGTGTTCCAGCTGCACCTGCAGGTTCTCCGTCTGCTCCACCTGCTCATCCAGAGACCTCTGCAGCTTCCGGGTCTGGTTTTGAGACTCATCCAGCTGGAAACGCAAAAAATGCAGACGCATAAATCCCGCTTCAGACTGCACGATATCAGCCAGACGGCACAACTCAAACACGAGACGCTGCTGTGGCGCCGAAACACAGCGGTCGATGCTGTGGCAGCTAGCATGCTTCCATCCAGAGCCAAGGAATATTCTCCACACAGACAGCTTCAAAATGAATATTTAACGCTTTAAATACACCAGACCTTTGTATCACCTCAAATTGTCCTGAAAATATTAAGAGAAAAAACCCCACCTAGTCACAGAAGTATTTATCGGTCAGCTGTTCGATTAATTCAATCGGTCAGAACGGAGGTTCATAAAGTTTTGAACTGGCTGCTGGTTGGTTTGTCTGACGCTGTCTGGAATAACTAACAAAATCTGTTTGTAGGTGTCAGCTCTGATGGTAGCTGATTGCTTGTATGTCATTTGCTGGCGGGTCGGTTGGTTTGGTGGAAGGAGGGCCAGTTTTTAACTGACTGCATGATTTTGGTTAGTTGGTTTGTTTGTGTGTTGGTTGTTTTTTCAGGAATGACTGGTTCAGATCTGATCTGGTCAGTCGGTTGGTCGTTTGGAATGAGTCATGGAGATGTGGGCGGGGTCAGAAGCTGGATAAGCAGATGAGATCAACCATAATCTGTGACCCAGCCGTATACCTGCGTAGCCGTGTTCCTACCTCATCCTCAGCCTGTCCCAGTTCTTTCTTAAGCTCCTCCACCCTCAGTCGTAACTTTTTAACTTCGGCCTCGTGGCTCTCGACCCTCCGGTTGGCGTGGGCGAGCTCTGCCGTCTTCTCCTGGAACTGCTTCTTTAGCTTAGCGTGAATGTGGCGAAGGTCGGCCAGCTCCTGAGGACAGAGAAAGAGTTCAGACGCTGGCGTTTCCACCTCAGATTCTCACAGCTGATTAACCACGATCAGGAACGCCTTCACTCACTGATCACCCAGGAAATGGCTGACATGCGTTTTTGTTAATGGAAAAGCGACATTAGAGCAACGGTTGGATTTTTTTCTTATTTTGTGGTTGTTGGCATATTTCATGACATCCGGTCAGATGACCTCTGGCTAAATGCTAACGTTAAATGCTTCAACGTTTAAAAATAATCTGTGAGTTCTGAGTGTTTGAATAACAGACGCACCTTTACATGAACACGTCTTGCGTGAGGATTATATGAAACTGACAGATGAAGCACTTTGAAGCGTGCACTTCCTTATCGTGTGCTGCACGCCGCAGACTTCAGCTTTCTAAAGCAGCTGCAGGCAGAAGCGACCGCAGCCTCTCTGAGGAGCATCGGAACGTGAAACCGTGTCTTCACGAGGGTGTAATTACAGGTAGTTGTGGTCACAGTCGGGTTTAGCACAACAAAAGCTCCATTTGACTGGTTTGCACTTGGAGCTAATGGCAGGATTAATAATGCACCACTGTGTGCCCCCCCCCCGCAGCCTAATGGCTCCCCAGACAGCAGGAAGCTTTTCTGAACTTGCGATGGACAGAAACGAGACGCATACAGTGATAATAAAAGCCGGGGAGTGGGAGCATCCTTATTTATCTACATCTGTACTTCTGATCCATCTCTCAGCGTTATTAGGTATTACATTTTTCTCTTATTACTAACTTCGATCTCCTCTATGTCCTCAGTGAAACGGCGCACGGACAGCAGTTTGATTGGAGGAGGAATTCAGGTCCAATCTGTTGTTCAAATAACGACAAATTCCTTCAGACTCTGCACACACACCTCCTCCCCTCCCCCCTCAGTCAGTATTTAAATGATGAATGGTGCACAAATACAAGTGCAAGCTCAGAGCCAGATCAAACAAAGAGAACGGATGATTAAAAGAGGGGGTGGGGTCTGGAGAGGAGGGAATGAGGAGGATGAAGAGTGGAGGGTGGTGACTGGAGAGGTGGTGTTTCACAGGTGAAGCATTAGAACAAAGACCAGTGCAGCCTGTCTGCGAGACAGTGCGACGAGGCAGAAGTCCAGGAGGTCAGAAACATGTCTGACATGACTGCTCTGCTTTGGCGAGCTCCTTACTGGTAACGTCTTTAAAAAGGGGCAACACAGTACTTGCTTAGATGACACACTGCATATTTTCTTGGATTATTTTACCAGCAAAAACAATTCTGGAAGTGTTTAAACCCACAAATGCTCTTTTCCATCCTCTCAAAGTCAGAAGGTTGGACGTGAGGAGCCACCCACCACTTTAATCACACTCTAGATCTTGTTTTAACATATGGCATAGAAACTGAACATTTAACAGTGTTTCCTGAAAACCCTCTCCTGTCTGATCATTTCCTGATAACATTTACTTTACAATAATTGATTACACAGCGGTGGAGAGTAGACTTTATCAAAGTAGATGTCTTTCTGAAAGCGCTGTAACTAAGTTTAAGAATATAATCCACCCACTGTTATCATCTCAATGCCCTGTACCAACACAGAGCAGAGCAGCTATCTGAACGCTACCCCAACAGAGGTCGATTATCTTGTTAATAATTTCACCTCCTCACTACGTACGACTCTGGATACTGTAGCTCCTGTGAAAACTAAGGTCTCTAATCAGAAGTACCTGACTCCGTGGTATAATTCTCAAACACGTACCCTAAAGCAGATGACTCGTAATCTGGAGAGGAAATGGCGTGTCACAAATCTAGAGGATCATCATTTAGCCTGGAGAAATAGTTTGCTGCTTTATAAGAAAGCCCTCCGCAAAGCCAGAACATCTTACTATTCATCACTGATTGAAGAAATAAGAACAACCCCAGGTTTCTCTTCAGCACTGTAGCCAGGCTGACAAAAGTCAGAGCTCTTTTGAGCCAACCATCCCTTTAACGTTAACTAGTAATGACTTCATGAACTTCTTCACAAATAAAATTTTTATCATTAGAGAAAAAATTACCAGTAATCATCCCACAGATGTAATATTATCTACAGCTACTCTTAGTACCATTGATGTTAAGTTAGACTCTTTTTCTCCAATTGATCTTTCTGAGTTAACTTCAATAATTACTTCCTCCAAACCATCAACGTGTCTTTTAGACCCCATTCCTACAAAACTGCTCAAAGAAGTCCTGCCATTAATTAATTCTTCGATCTTAAATATGATCAACCTATCTCTAATGATCGGCTATGTACCACAGGCCTTCAAGCTGGCTGTAGTTAAACCTTTACTCAAAAAGCATCTCTAGACCCAGCAGTCTTAGCTAATTATAGGCCAATCTCCAACCTTCCTTTATATCAAACATCCTTGAAAGAGTAGTTGTCAAACAGCTAACAGATCATCTGCAGAGGTTTATTTGAAGAGTTTCAGTCAGGTTTCAGAGCTCAGCACAGAAACAGCTTTAGTGAAGGTTACAAATGATCTTCTTATGGCCTCTGACAGTGGACTCATCTCTGTGCTTGTCCTGCTAGACCTCAGTGCAGCGTTCGATACTGTCGACCATAATATCCTATTAGAGCGATTAGAACATGCTGTAGGTATTACAGGTACTGCGCTGCAGTGGTTTGTATCATATCTATCTAATAGACTCCAGTTTGTGCATGTAAATGGAGAGTCCTCTTCACACACTGAGGTTAATTATGGAGTTCCACAGGGTTCAGTGCTAGGACCAATTCTGTTTACATTATACATGCTTCCCTTAGGCAGCATCATTAGAAGACATAGCATACATTTACACTGCTATGCGATGACACCCAGCTCTATCTGTCCATGAAGCCAGATAACACACACCAATGAGTTAAACTGCAGGAATGTCTTAAAGACA